ATATATAATGATATAGGAGTACTTATGGTTAAAGGTTAAACTTTCACTGTGAAACTTAGTCTGTTAATGTTACTAATTTTGGTTAGAAAATGAAAACTCTGATGACTTCATAGTAGTTCTTTGGTTCCCAAAAATAACACCTGCCTCAGGTTTCTGTATAGCCGCCACCACCACCAACTCTAGATGTCCTCTATGCCCTTGTTCCGAACTTGCAATTAGGCCACAAGTGACAAACAGGCATCAAACAAACAGCCCCAAAACCGAAATAACCAACTGCAGTGGATTGCAGGCCTTCGAGGGATATATATAGAGACGAGAGCAGGATCGGTCGCAGAAGAACGACCCCCTGGCCAAGCCTTTTGGGCTGACAGACAACAAGTAAATTCCATTAAATGTACGAAATGGAAATTAATTTCGGTTGCACACAAAAACACATATATGGGAGGATTTTTATGTTTTCATTACGGAGTCGAATCTCGCAAGGGGAATCCTTCGCAAGTACTGAGAAAGTGAAATGAGCTGTCAGCGGTTGAAGGGTGGGCATTGGTGGGTGGTGGGGTAGTGAGTGTTGACTCCTGCAGGATGAGACCGAGGAGACGAAGGAAGAACTAGGGGGTCACCGGGTGACCCCTGGCCAGGCCAATGTTAATTTCAATTGCCTGGTGCATGGTCCTTGGTCGCATGTCGTTGACTCTTTGCCGCAACTAAATCAAGTGCTGCACGTGGCAGATGCACTGGTCCACTCCTCCTCCCTTTCCTCACCCTCTTGCCTCTTTCTTCATTTCTCCTTTCTTTCCCGCCCTTGTCCCCGCCTCAAGCTCCTCCTCAGTCACGAAACTCTTTCTTTGCTTTCTGTCTCGAGCGAGGTTGATGCTCTGTTATCGCTGTTTGGGCACACTGAGAGAAATATTTTAGAGAATTGCAGTGTTTTAATATATTGGGAAACTGAAAGTCATCAAATACATGTATTAAGATCATAAATAATAACTTTTATAGAGATCTATGTATACAAATTTTCAATTACTTAAACTGAAATGCCATCGTTAGTGGACAAAGATTTTGTTCAGCGTTTGGAAAGCAGGAAAGGCTGCTGGGCTTGAAGGACGTGGGGTGGCTGGATTTTGGCGGGAATCGGAGGGGTTATACGCCTCCTTTTTTGGCAAATGTCGCGAGTCGCGAGGCGTCGCTAACGTGGACATGGACATGAGCAATGTGCACTGGCGATAAGGAGGAGCTCTCACAGCGGACATGGCCATTCCCAACCGAAAATACCAACTCCCCGCCCGCATCGGGGGCATAATTGGCCAGTCAGTCACCCCGCGTCACCCTGCCCCTGGCACTCCACAATCAATTGAAGCGTAATGGCAACAGTTCAATAACTTTTTGGCCATTCTCCATGGGATTCCATTGCAGGCTGAAGATGATGGCCGCCGCGCCACGATGATGATGCTTCAATTATCTATTATGGATCTAATGAGTTGTCATGTTCGGATATTACGGGAATTGATTCGATTGCCACTGTTTTGTTAGTTGCAGACGATAAAAAATAGGGGGCTAGGGCTTCTCCTTATGCTTGCTGTTCTTCAGCGGCTCTATCTCTGCCTCTCTGACTTTCAGTGGCTCTTTTATTCAGCTGAGTCTTTGATAAAGATATCTACTTAGGTAGATGCGCTTCTTAAATATTTGTTTTAAATATTTTTTGGTTTTCTATTACAAAATAGAATTCAAGACTTACCTCTTCCAAGAGCATTCCCCTTCCAAACCAAATGCCTGAGAGATGTCCTCAGCATTAATCAAAAGCCAAAGAACTTAAAGGCAATGACTAATATTTTTGGCTATCAGCAGCGCCAAATGGCCAACGCTCGCCGCCCCCGGGGAAACCCTATTTTCCCCCTTTTCCATTTCCAAAAGCCAACCCCTGCCCACACCTATGTGCATATTTAAGGCAGCTACATACATACATACATGCAATTGGTGGAGTACATGGTTTACCTGGCTTCGGGTTTTTGGAGTAGCTGCATAGAGAGTGCGAGGGTCATGGAAATCGAGGGGGTGATGGGGGGCAGTTTTCCCTAGGATTGATGCTGCTGGTTTTGGCTTTCGGTGGTTCGCTATCATTGCACAAGTGCGCAAAATTTTGGACTCAATTCACGTGCTCGGCTGCCAAAATTGTTGCCTGGCCTCCGTACCGCCCAGCCCACCTATAGCCCAGTCAACCCCACCGCCCCACTGGTACCGCCTTTCGCTCCATAAATTTGCACATTGATCGCCCTGTGGCGCTGCCTCCTGCCTGCTGCCTGCTGCCTGCTGCCTGCTGCCTCTATATATGTCTGCCTGTCTGTCTGTATGTATTTAATTCGATAACAGCGCCAACGGTAAAGGGAGTTGTTCGAAAGATTTTTACCCAACTCAGCGCAACTCCACCGCCACGCCCTCCCCGCTTATCGTCCCTTATGCCACGCCCCCTTCCACATTGCACTCTCAAGTGCAGTGAAATAGTTGTGAAACACTTTGCCAAAGATGAAAGATAAATCCAAAAAAGCAAATGGCAGCGCAAAGGCAACGCTCCAGACCCGAATCATTTCTGCATAACTTTAAAAAATTTAATCAAAAAAACCGGAGCTAGTAGGTACACTGAAAGAAATGTAACAAAAACAAGTTTTGAATATTATTTTAAAAATAATCAAATTAACAATTTGTATATCCCAGGTCTATGTTTTGTGGATAAATCTAAAAAATATATTCTTTTTTAGGAGATGTAAGAAATGGGCAAAAATAAATTTAAGAAAGCCCCAAACTTTAAATACTCTGAACTTTAACTGGGCGATATTAATGAATAGAACAAGATAATAGTACGTAACCTAATTAACTGATCTGATATTCCATTAAAATAATAAGCTATTATAATGTTCATTAAAATATTTTCCTTTATTTCATTTTTTATATTTTTGCAATTAAAAATCGGCTTATTGAACATCTGCTGGCAAGTTCTCTAAAGGGACGAACGAAAGCCGTGCATAATTTAAATGTCTAGACCCCATCCCGCCCCTTTGACTGACCGCAGGGCGTGGAATGGTATGGAAACCTGGAAAAAGGCAGAAGAAAATGCAAAACGAAAGAAAAGGGAAGCCCAGTTCCGCAAATCGAAGTCTAAATACCCTTAAAATGTTTATAAAATGTTTTTTTAATGTATTTTCTTATATTTTTAATTAATTTTTAATTAATGGTATAAGAATAGAATGAAAGCCATTCAGTTTTTAGTCATACATATATAAATTTTGAAATCAGGACAAAGGTTTACATGACAAAGTCCCAAAATTAGTTAAAATAATTTAATTAATAAACAAAAAACGAAACAGGAATATATAATTTCATTGCTCATAATGATACTTCACTCCGTTACAAGCTCGTAAGTGAAATCGAAGAACCCTCCGCTTACACCCTACGAAAAGTGAGAATACCTCAAGCATCCGGCCTGCCACTGTCAATAATTAAGTGCGAACCTTGATATAAACTTTACGCCAACTTCGCTGACGGTCGACGGGTCTTCCGTCTCTTTCGCTGTCGCTGCACTGAGAGAAATTTACCAGCATTATAAAAAGACTATTCTCTTATAAATTATAGTTCTTCGTGGGTTGATAAGTACTAAGCTATATGAATAATTTTCAGTATTTATAACTCATCAAAAAAAAACTGCTGATTTTAACCTCAAAAAATGTTTTTGAATATAATTTACAGTATTTTATTAGGCCCAGAAATGCTTGACTCGTGCTGGGTATTTAAAACAGTTTTAATGCAATTTTAACTTACTTTTCTGCTTTGTTTGAACAAAAACTGACTTTTATATATCATTCAAAAATCCATATCAAAAATCATCAACACTATATTTCTTTCTGTGTATTATTCATTCGTCCTTTTCTTTTGGCCTGTCTGCGTTTATCCTTTCGAAGGCTCTTCTCTTCTCTTTGCATTCGCTTCGTTTTGATTAAATTAAAAAGTTACCACAGTCTCAGTCGCCCATACAAACACAAACAAACAACCAAACACGCATTCGAATGCAAACAAACAAATAGGTGAGGAGAACTCCCTGCCCCTCCCCCACCCTTGCTGACACATCTACTAATTGTGTCTTCAGTCGTCTCTTTCTGCTGGCCGCCGCAGTCCCTCTCTTTCGCACAAGCAAGAACAATGAAGCTTTGGATGAGCTAATAGATTTATCATGAATCGTTTCACAGCCCGTTACCGTTATTGTTCCACTGGTGTCCACTTCAGGTGTCTTGCCTCTCCATCCTTCTCTCGTTTCTCCTCTGCCAAATCTTCTGGGTGCCTCGGCTTTGTCTGTAGAATTGTTAGTTTACATTACCAGAAGACTTTCTTGGCCATTGGTCAGTGCGATTTTTGAAACGATTACAATAATAATAAAAAATAATTTTCTTTTTTCCAAAGACTTTCTTTAGACTATTCAGGCTATTGCCTGTAGATTTCTTCTGCATAATCCTCAAATATGTAGCCGCCCCAAAGTATACCCCTTTCCTGACAAGGTCAAACTATTAAATGAATTTCCCCATCAAGATTAGTTCATAACTCGCTTGTCGCCGAATCACCTAGATAGTTTACTATATCGATAAGATTGGCCCCTACATAAGGCCTCAAAATAAATCGCATTCTGCGATAAGATATTACAGGCTTAACGGTTAAGTAAGCAGAGGGGTTAAAATTGGTTAACATCTTCCGATTAAAATAAAATAATAATAAGGTCGGTAGGTTAAAAAGCAATCTATTTATGTAGATACAAAACAAGATCAAAATAAATTATTTTAAATCGTTTTAAGACTGCTTACTTATCATAAATTAGAAATCTTCCTTTGATAGCAAATATTATTTTTACAACACCTTTGTACACATAAGGGTTAAGTTCGGACAGTGAGAGTGTTATAAATCTAGTTAAGCGCCCGTCTATATAAGAAGGTAGCCCCTCTTGGGCTTTGCCCATTTGGAAAATGAGAACCTCTCAAGTTGCTGCCTTAACGACTCTGCTCGCCAGCTGTTTGCTGCTGTTGGTGCTTCCCGTACAGTCAGCACCTGGTAGCCTGAACGCCCGTGTGGTGGGCGGCGAGGATGCAGCCAAGGCGCAGTTTCCCCACCAAGTCTCCCTAAGGAATGCCGGTTCGCACAGCTGTGGAGGCTCGATCCTGTCCAAGAACTACATCCTAACCGCCGCTCATTGTGTGACCAATCAAGACGCTAACGGAAATCACATTGCCATTGCTGCTGATCGCTTTACCATTCGAGCTGGTTCCAATGATCGGTTCAGTGGCGGAGTCCTTGTCCAGGTAGCCAAGGTTATTGTTCACGAAGAATACGGAAATTTCCTCAATGATGTGGCCCTCCTCCTGCTTGAAACGCCGCTGATCCTGTCCACCAGCATTCAGCCCATCTCTCTTCCAACCTCGGATACCCCTGCAGATGCGGACATCATCATTTCGGGCTGGGGAAGGATCAAGCATCAGGGCGATCTACCACGCTATTTGCAATACAACACCTTGAAGTCGATATCCCTTGAGAGGTGCGACGAGTTGATTGGCTGGGGCGTTCAGAGCGAACTGTGTCTGATCCACGAGGCAGACAATGGCGCCTGCAATGGCGACTCTGGCGGTCCGGCAATCTACAACAACCAGGTGGTGGGCGTGGCCGGGTTCGTCTGGTCCGCTTGCGGAACAAGCTATCCGGACGGATATGCTAGGGTGTACTTCCACAATGATTGGATCCGGAAGAACTCGGATGTGAAATAATGTCGAACCTACTTGCTGTAATACAGTAATTAAATAAAGCTCTGGTCGAGTATAAAAACCTTCAAATCGGACAATGGATAACACTTTATATGTTTTTTGTTTAATAATAATAATAATAGTAGCAGCCTGTCCTGAATCCTGTAAACTGAGATATTATAATCAGCCTTTCAATAGTTTTTTGTTATTTTTCTGACATTTTTCGTTTACATCTATTCTTTTTCCCTTTTTCTCCATGGATAATGGGTATAGGAATAATGATAATAATAAATAACTTAATTTTTTTTGTCCAGAAACCGATGGCAAAGTCCTGTAGGATATAATGCTCGGTACCAGTAGTACAGCATCTAGTCGGTAGAGGAACATCTTGACTGAAAGAAATGTCATATCTAGTCATAATCATTCGCTTCAGGAGAAAGTTCTTAAACATTCAGTAGCTCGCCCCGAGTTACTAAAGGTGTATGCCATTCCTCTCGTATTGAATAAATATGATGAGAGGAAATTCTACTCAGTCACTGTATATCGCCAGCGAGTCGATATCAAAGACTTTGCTGGGAATCGAAAATGTGGCGGTTGGTTAAGATAAACTCAAAATGTTCCACCAGTGGTACCCAAGACCTCTTTGTAAGGTCATAGCAAGTTAAGAAAGCCATGGAATTGCACCCCGGACTAAGGGGTTGTCCCAGTAGTTTCTCACAAAATTGATCTCTATGTTGTTAACAACGCTTGGTTACTGTGGGAAAGATTGCTAGCTTGACGATCTTCTTCGAAATCGGCGGCTGCCCTGTAGAGGTGGAGAAACATCGATGCGAACATCGATGACATCGATGTTTTCGAAACATCGGCAACATCGATGTTTACCGGAGGAACATCGATGTTTTTTCTTTTCTAAGGCACATTGATTGATTGGCGAATTGTAAGTACATATATAACTTAATTTAATGGCTACGCTTATAAAACGTTAGCTTAATAATACTTCTGCGATCCGGCATCTTCGTGCGAATCTGAAAGAGTTTTCAGTAAAGCTGGACAACTTATAAGTGAACGTCGCACGCGGCTATCATCGACCGTTGTCGATAAGCTCCTCTTTTTATACAAAAACAAAGATGTAAATAAATACACAGATACATATGTATATGTGTATATGTGTGTATAGTGTATATGTATATGTATAAATATACATATATAGTAGAGTTCGGAATAGTAAGTATAGTAGGAATATCACATTATCCAAAAAAACTATTATTTTCTTTGGATCATGTATGTATATATTGAAACATTGATATAAAATTTGTTTTTTTTGTTATTATTTACAAACTAAGAATATGACAATATACCAAAGAAGTAGAACATGAATATCATGAACAGTTTTATTTTAATTTGTTTTTCTTTTCGTTTTTATTTAATAAGTGATTAATAAATTGGATATTTTTTGTTGAAAATTTGACTTTTAATTTTTAAACATTACAAATTAAAATAAAGTTCAAATACATTAAAATAACTGCACATTTTTTTTTATTTAAAACATCGATGTTTCATCGATGTTTTCGCCAAAAACATCGTAAACATCGATGTCCGTGAACATCGATGTTTCTCCACCTCTACTGCCCTGACCATTTCAATTTTGGCAAGGTCCAATAGAATTCGAGTCTCTTAACGAAAGGTGGTGGATTCAAACAATACGATAGAAATGTTCGAAATGCCAAAATCTAAAAATTTATATATTTTAATTCAGCGTTCAATAGGACACACTTTCTTTACCTTTTCGTAACAGGGATTTTGTAATATTTTTATTGTTATTTTTTCTTTTTGATAAAACCTGTCTTTTCTGCTCGGACTTCATGTGAAGTAACATTTTACAGAGGCAAACCAAACCAAATTACACACAGAAGGGCGGCCATGACATACCAAGAATTAGATCACAGTTACCAAAGATTAGAGGTGAACCACCGCGTTTCTGTTGTATTTTATCGATTCATCGGCTTATAAGCTATTGTTTATGTTTTTTCCATCTTTGATTTCGTTTAGCTTTGGCCTCTCTAATGAAAACCCGTAATATAAAAAGTTTAGTATAAACAGATTCACACACCATCAAAAGGCAATCTTTTTCAATTTATATATCATTGATAGTATTTGAATGAATAGTAATTCACCATGGAAAGCTGCCAAACAAATATCAAGATTAGGCTACAAGCCATAAAACAATTAGCAATGACATAATTTCAAGCCGACGCGTTTCTTCGATTAGATTGGAGCCTCCTATTTAATAAATCTCATCGGGTGATAAGATAAGATGGTGCGCATTGCAAATCAGGAGGCGTAATCCCCGGCTGTATATAAGAAGGTTGGTCTGGATGGGCATTGCCCATTTGTGAAAATGACAACCGTTAGCTTGGCGATTTTGCTCAGCAGCTGTTTGCTGTTGTTAGTGCTGCCCGTACAGTCCGCACCCAGTAGCCTAAACGGCCGTGTGGTGGGCGGCGAGGATGCCGCCAAGGCGCAGTTTCCCCACCAAGTCTCCCTAAGGAATGCCGGTTCGCACAGCTGTGGAGGCTCCATCCTGTCCAAGAACTACATCCTAACCGCCGCCCATTGTGTGACCAATGAGGACTCTAACGGAAATCACATTGCCATTGCTGCTGAGCGCTTAACCATTCGAGCTGGTTCCAATGATCGGTTCAGTGGCGGACTTCTCATCCAGGTGGCCAAAGTTATTGTACACGAAGGATACGGAAATTTCCTCAATGATGTGGCCCTCCTCCTGCTTGAAACCCCTCTAATCCTGTCCAGCAGCATTCAGCCCATCGCTCTTCCCAGCTCGGATACTCCAGCTGATGTGGATGTCGTCATTTCCGGCTGGGGAAGGATCAAGCATCAGGGCGATCTACCACGCTATTTGCAATACAACACCTTGAAGTCGATATCCACGGAACAGTGCGAGGAGCTGATCGATTTTGGTTTCGAGGGCGAACTATGCCTGCTTCATATGGTGGACAATGGTGCCTGCAATGGCGATTCCGGTGGACCGGCCGTTTACAACGACCAGTTGGTGGGCGTGGCTGGCTTCGTTGTGGGCGGATGCGGATCTACGTATCCGGACGGATATGCCAGGGTCTTCTACTTCAAGGACTGGATCAAACAGCATTCGGATGTCTGAAATCAAAGAAAATAGATCTTTTTTTTTTGTTAGTTTTAAAAATAAATGTTTTTTTGTTTAAAATAAAATGAATAGTAATATTTGTTAGGAAATGGACTATTATTGGAAATTTCTTAATATTCCTCGTTATTATCATTGGAAATCTCCCTCACCTTCATATGATAGCAAACGAAAAATTGATTTTATTGCTATAAAGTGTGGGACTTTATTTTAGACAAATAAATTAAACACTCTGACTTACTATCTCTGAATTTGAAAATGAAAAGATAGCGTTAATTGCTAGTTCTTAAACGATAACAGTTCAGGAAGACACGCGTGGAACTTCTTTAATCTAGATTATGTTTAGCAGGGAGTTACTCATTATTATACCTTTAATATGACTAAAACTAAACACAGTTATCATTTCGCTAAGCACATCTATTAATTTACATGTGTTTTGTATAATTCACACCGTCGAATCGCCGAAATTTTTGTCCGCCCTTTTGCCATTAAAGCGCTGGCGCCCTTTTTGTGTGCCTCACATTTTTTGCATATTTGTCAAGCAATTTTACTCTAAATTTGCCAATTATGCGCATTTTTTGAGCGTGACCCGAATGGCCACCAATACCCGTCCAAAAAACGCATACCGATACGGATTTATGATCGTGTGTGTGTGTGTATGGGGAATATGGCCTTTTATCGCTTTGGCTACATTGTCTCCTGGCCATTGTTTTCGGCGAGGGTAGCTTGAAAATATATTCAATGGTGTCTGATCAAGGTAAATAACTGTATAGGTATTAGGCCCTCTAATCTAGGTTATTAATATGATAAAATATTTGACGCTTTGGCGAGTCTTAAAAGGCAACTTAAGTTTGATCTTCCAACCTTGAGGGATCTTTAATAAGTATAATATGAAATATTATAAATAAATATGAAAATTTATGTGTTTATATTTTATGTATTTATGGCTTTATTGCTTGAGTTTTAATATTCATTTTTGCCCTATTATTATTGATGTTAAAGTATATTTCGAAGTCTACTTTTAGGCATGGGAAATTTAAAAAAAAATATTTCTTTTAAGGTAAATATTTGTATACTTTAAATTTAATCAATTACAGCTGAATATTGTTCGAAGTCTTTGCACCCCCCACGCCCATCTTTGGTGCCTCTTTTTGTCTCACTTATTGGCCATGTTGTTGCTGCGATCTCGCGCATTTTCAAACTTATATTGGCATAATTTATACTTTAGCAGCATTTTTATCGCTGCGCTCGGCACGAAATACCAAATACAAAATACAATAAACAATGGGCCAGCGCTGGCCAGGAACAATAGCAATAACAACATGCCATTTCAATGTTAGTCCCCTACCAAAAACAAAAAAAAAATTTAATATATATTTCACCGCCCTTAACCCCCTGGCTCTTAACCCTTTTTGCTGCATTTTCCGTGCGCCGTACTTTGCGTCACTTTGCGCGCTTTATTTATTTACGATTTTTGCGTGAGCCCCGTTCGATTCTTGTTTTTTATTTTATTTATTGATTTACAATTTATACATGCTCGGCCACACAGTACGTATACGTAATATTTGGCCGAGAGTGTGTGTGTGTCGCCATCATCATAGTCACAGTCACAGTCACAGTCAGAGCCATCATTGGCATCTTTATTTGGCCTCGGTTGCGAGTCCTACGAATCGATCTCTCTCCCTTCAGCTCTATGTCAATGTCATCAATCATTTGTAGCAGCATTTTTATGTAAATAATTAAAATAGAAAATAATCGTAAAATAAAAGGAGCGAGTGTAATTCTTTTTTGACGCAGTCTGCCGATGAAGATGACTGCAGCAGTTTGTGGCACTGGCACTGGCACTGGCGGTGGCTGTGGCTGTGGCTGTGGCGATAAAATGCCGGAATTTCCGATGAACCTTGTCGCGTGTCGCTCTTCATAATTTCCCTCTTAAATTATCGCGAGTGAAAAGCCACAGAAGTGGGCGTCGAAAATGCATGTGGGAGTGCATAAATATGTGCAGTGAAAGGTATTTATTTACTTCTAGGCATGGTTTTTCTTTTTGGGGTCCCAAACATTATTATTCCAAATTGAAATGCAAACGCCATCGGAAATGCAGCGTACCCACTTGGCTTTGTTATTTGATTTGATACAGGTTCGTTAGTTTTCCGGTGGAGTGAGCAGGAAGTGACCATCAAATTGTTGGCCATCTATCAATCCATCTTTACACATTCACATACATTCACATACACATTGACCATTTCAATATTGGTTTCCAAGTCAAGAGTTATTAAATTCCACAAAAATAAAACCATTTCGATCATTATTTTTGTGTTATTTGCTGCAAATTGAACAAGTTCGAAGCGGAAATAATAAACCAGAGTGGACGAGTCACTGGAACTTGGATCTGGCGCACTCCTTCAGCGATGTGTCATCATTCGGTATCGATGGAACTACACTATACTATATACTATATATATATTGCTCACGCCACTAGCCCATGCACATTCCAATTTAAAACAAAAAGAAGCAACGGGCTTAACTTTAACTACTGGACGATGAGTGGCAAGGGGGCAGATGGCCACTGAGCCAGTGAGGTAGTGAGGCACGGGGCGTGTGTGTTTGGCATAAGAATGCGTCCAAGTGTATCAACGATATAAACTTCTACGTCCACATAGACATATCGCCCAACATATATCCATGTTTGTGCGCATATCTGGGCATATATGTGTTTTTATTTAAATGAATTGCACGCAGCAGCAGTTCCAAAAACGGATTTCGGCAGGTGAAAGGATATTTGCTAAAAGAAAAAGAGTTTATATAGAAATTAATCCGATGTTTTTAACTACATCTCACATCATAACGTTTATTCTATGTTTAATAAATGGCGTAAATAAGTGACTTAATTAAGAAACAGTCATCCAAAAATATTAAAATAATTTATATACCCGAAAGTCCCACCTCCAATAGATTTCTGTTAAGTATTATAACTTTTTGGCCATTCACCTGATTTATTCTTATTGAAATTGTTTAACCAAATAATAGAAATGACTCTCCGGAACGCACACATAAACAAGCCCGCCTACACACAGGCACAAAAAGCGAGGGCGACAGACATGTGTAAGTACATACATCTGTGTATATTGGGAAGTGTCGTCGGTTGGTGCTACTTTTGCCGCAGGAAGCGGTCGCAGCTGTGGGTTTTAAAATTTCAATTCATTTCCGTTGTGCATACCGTATACGTATGTATGTATGTATGTACGAGTGTATGTGTATTTGTGTGTTTGTGCACAACAGTCGGTCGACAATACACACAAATACACACGCAGCCAGGCACACGCACTGGCGAAATGAAAAAAAAAATGAAAAACAAAATGCGGCTAAATGGCAGACAGGACCAAAAACAACGCACCAACACACCAACCGACCAACAACAACAACGACCACAGGTCCTTTCTGGTCTGGCCAGGGCAATTTATGTGCCGAAAAGGCCAAACAGAAACGAACCTGAGGCCTGTTACCGGTTATCCCTCGAAACCCCGAAACCCCGAACCCACGAAACACCAGAAACCCATCCTCGAAACCCCTGAAACCCCTTTTGCAAACAGTGGGACCCATCGAGATTCCATTGCCATTTCTGCTCGAGGTTCGACTCGAGGCTGACCTGTAATAACTCTTCTCGGAATGGCAATTCTTTGTATTTGATTTGGAAAGTGTAGACGAGGCTTACATCGTTTTAGAATCTCTTTTATTATTTTTAATGATATTTTTGATTTAGCATTTTAGTTTTTGTACAAATATATAAGCTTTGATATCATTTGAAAGTAAAAGTAAAAAGTAAATTATAATTGTTAGCAGAAAACTTAGGAGGACCAGCAATCTAAAGTATTTATAAATTAATATATAACATAAATAATGATTTTTCACCACAGAAAAAGATAAAACGCGTTAGGAAAACACTTTTTTAATTAAGAAATTCAGTGAAAAACATTTTTCTGGCAACAAAAAGCTTAAGTAGTAAAGTCTACTTGATCCCTACTTTTAAATATTTTCATTAATAAAAAACCTTTTGCCAACTTAACAACGTAGTTAGTTTTGTTTTTCATCATTCTAGTATTATTACAGATTTTTGAGAAACAAATTTTATCTTATTTTCATTTTGGAGTATTCATAAATATTAATGAGCTTGACATTTGCCATATTTTTAATCCATTCAGCCTTAAATTATAATAGTTTTTAAATATCTTACTCATAGATTTTAAGACTTAAAGATTCCTTACTAATTAAGAACTTATAAATAATAATTATAAATCCCTAAGCTAGCAACTCAGTCTGAATGTTGTTATTACAGGGTATCACCATTTCGTTAAGTCAGAACGCACAGTCCGACTTGTTTTATGTTTAAAATGTAAAATGCTTCAAGTCACAAAATTCAATAAATGCTCAGTGCCCAGTGCAGTGGCACTCCCATTTCCACACATGCGCCGCCCTGCCGCCCACTCAATGGGCGTGGCACAATGGGGTAAATTGCATAAATGTATGACAAATGAATGCGTTGAATGCAGCAGTGGCACAACGTTCGCTCAGGTGGCATATCATAGGTGCTATTGTGTGGCATTGACACACACGCCCACACCCACACCCACTCCCACACACACACACACATTCGCAGGTATTCACTATGTTTTTCGAGGGGGGGTTTCAGAGGGGGGGCTAGCAGCGGTTGGTAGCATCGAAATTAAGCGATTGATGAGAGGCTAATGAGCGGGCACCGCAAAATGAAATGCAATGAAAGGTCCGCTCGATTGTGAAAAGGCGACAAAAGGAAAATGTTCAGTCCACATATCAGTGCGCATTTTGCGTGATTTGGTCACTCTGAGGTTGGTTCACTGAATTTTAGGTTGCAAAAAGTCAGCAATTGCACAAAGGTCTACTAGTTGAATATGAATGCTGCTGGTCATTTCGATTCCAATTATTTCTACTTAGTGAAAATTACCATAACTGTAGAACCAGACAAGGGAAACAAATTTTAAATTTGAAAATTGTGATAAAAATACCAAACCTTTTCAGAATGATAACTGAAA